TAAGGGGAGGGTGTGGGAGGGGGGAGAATAGGGGAACCCATGGCTGATATGTAGAACTGAATGGTATTGTAAAATAAAATTAAAATTAAAAAAGAAGAAAAAGGAAAAAAAGAAAAAAAGATGTCAAGTGAAAATAATGCTATATTCCACACACTGATTGCTTGTGCCCATGAATGGATTTGAAATAAACAACCCAGGCAGTGGGGAAGAAGAGGACTGAGTGGCATCTCAGTGGTACAACCTTGGCTAACAGACTAGAGGTCCCGAGTTCAGTCTCCCACCCACCCCCTCCTCCCATCAAACCTCAATGGAAGACTCATTTTCACTAACGTAACAAAGCTTAACGATTTGTGTCTTAAACAACTGTCTGCTCTCCTGGTGTCCCTTTTTAAACACTGTGATGACTTGGTTGACGTGTTCAAATTTCAATAGACAATTCTGGAGAATGGCAGTTGGTAAAATGTAATATACATATAATTGCTGTTGGCAGGATTTGAGGCAGAAAGAAAACAGAGACAAATTCTCAAAGAAAATAATCCAAAATATCTGTTAAAGAATTTGGTTTACTTTGTCCTGACTCTGGTGTTAATGTTCTAATAGGTATTTTTAAGACTAATTTAAAAAAAAAAAAAAAGTCCTACACTGACATTTGCATTTTTGCAGCTACTTGACAGGATAAAAATACTTCAGATGGTAACTTTAAAACGTATGAAGTTGTCAAAATCCTTTTATGTGGAAAGGGATCGATGGCTCGGCTCCGGTAGGAAGTTCCAGCGGAGACACCGCCCCCCCCACCGTCCCCCCCACCCCCTCCTTCCAACTGCCCGTTGGCAGCGGACCAGACGGACCAGACGGGACAGGCTCCCTTTGACTGTTTGGGGAAAAAAATAAAATTTATATTACTCCTTGCTGGAGACGGCGATAGGATTCTCAATATATCTCATACCGGTTCAAATAAATATAGCCAAACCAAGGAAAGTGGTGTTCTTTCCACGGTTAAGATCTCCTGCCCAAACGTTCCAGATCAAGATGGCATTCTCAAATAAATGCTGAGTGCGGACAATTCTGTTACCAACGCTTCACTGAAAATAAAGCAGCTTTAGGAGAGGAACTCATTTGCTCAAAACAACGGGATTCTTTCCCAAATCCTTCCATCCCCTAGCCACTAAAACTGCTGGCGGCTGCAGCTGGCTACATCCAGCTCTTTTACACAGGCATTGCGGGTGTCGCCGCCGTACCTTTTCAAGCCCTGTTCCAGCATACTGTTGTGCAGGATCTGTTGGGATGTAATGCCAGAATGGTCATATCCAAGGGATCAAGACGCCTGTCTGTTCCAGGAAAGGTTCTAAAGGAACGCAGATGCAGAGGCCACCCAGCGGGCACGGCACCCAGAATCCCACTACGCTGGTGACCTCGCCCACCTGGGGAAGACTGGAGGCTTAGGGAGGGGACTCACGCCCCTTGTCTATCCCTTGACCATCGTTCTCATCCCACCCTCGGGAAGAGCAGAACAGCTGCAGCCCTACATCCCTCACACTCAAAAGCACATCTTAGTGGTACCCAGTAACTGAGAATCTCCCTCAGGCGCGTGGCAGTCACCAATGACCACACACGCTGTGTTCAAGACCCTTTTAAGGACTGCATGGGTGGCTCTGAAAAGAGCCTTTGGATTGAGGACGCCCGCGCCGCGCCTCACTTGGAGCTGGTGTATTTGGTGACAGCCTTGGTGCCCTCGGACACGGCGTGCTTGGCCAGCTCCCCGGGCAGCAGCAGACGCACGGCCGTCTGCACCTCGCGGGACGTGATGGTCGAGCGCTTGTTGTAATGCGCCAGGCGGGAGGCCTCGCTGGCGATGCGCTCGAAAATGTCGTTGACGAAAGAGTTCATGATGCCCATGGCCTTGGAGGAGATGCCGGTGTCGGGGTGCACCTGCTTCAGCACCTTGTACACATAGATGGAGTAGCTCTCCTTGCGGCCCCGTTTGCGTTTTTTGCCGTCCTTTTTCTGTGCCTTGGTGACGGCCTTTTTGGACCCCTTCTTGGGGGCTGGAGCAGATTTGGACGGATCAGGCATATTGGCTAGCTGCTCTCGGGAAACGCGCGTGTCCGCCGTACCAACTCTATTTATATGCCTTGTATTCAAATGAAGGATCAGACTTTACTCGCTTTTGATTGAATACAATTGTACACTACGTCATCTCAGGGTAATGTATATGCAAATTAGGAGGCGCCGGGTTCTTTTTCTGATTGGCTAGTGCTGCCGTCCAATAGAAAGGCGCAGTCTGGCCTCCCTCCTGATCATATATAAGAGCTTGCTGGCGCTTACGAGGTCGTTATCGTCAGCTTAGTTTCTGGTTTGTGTTCTTCTTTCTGATCATCAGTTGAAGATGTCTGGTCGTGGCAAGCAGGGCGGCAAAGCTCGCGCGAAAGCGAAGTCCCGCTCGTCTCGCGCGGGCCTGCAGTTCCCCGTGGGCCGAGTGCACCGTCTTCTCCGCAAGGGCAACTACTCGGAGCGGGTGGGCGCCGGCGCCCCGGTGTACCTGGCGGCCGTGCTGGAGTACCTGACGGCCGAGATCCTGGAGCTGGCGGGCAACGCGGCCCGCGACAACAAGAAGACACGAATCATCCCGCGCCACCTGCAGTTGGCCATCCGCAACGACGAGGAGCTCAACAAGCTGCTGGGCCGCGTGACCATCGCGCAGGGCGGCGTCCTGCCCAACATCCAGGCGGTGCTGCTGCCCAAGAAGACCGAGAGCCACCATAAGGCCAAGGGCAAGTGAGGCCCTCCTGGTCGTTAGTGCTACTTAACGGACACCAAAGGCTCTTTTCAGAGCCACCCACAACCCCAAAGAAAGAGCTGTACACTGAACCTGTCGCCAGGTGCTGGCCAGGGCTGGGAATCCCGATTCCTTCCATGGGTTCGAGCATCTGCGCCTGGGGCGTTCCCGGCTGAGGCCAACGGCTTCCATCTGCGGTTGGTTGGCCTGGGCTTGGTTTGGAGGCTCTGGCGGTTTGTCCCCACCACTGCCCCGTGTTAGGCACTCGGTTTCCGTTAAGGTTCGTGTTTAAGGAAATGCTTGGCATAAGGCTCTCATAGGCAAGTGCTGGTGTTTCTACTGAAACGGAGCGAATTGAAACGCTTACAGTTACACCCGAGACATTCGAGTTAGGATCTAGCCAGGTTTAGATTTCCAAAAGTGTCTGAGGGGAGGTATTTCAAATTTACTTGTTCATAGACGTGTGTGTGTGATGACAACTCAAAGTTTCCTGGTTTCTTTTGTGGGAGACACGGAGCGACTCAGCAGTGCTGCCCCACCTGCTTACAGTGGTAGATTACAGATGGGCATGGTCCTGCAGGCGTTTGGAATTGACCAAACAATCGGAAGCACTTAAGTAGCTTAATCTTGAGGAACAAAATAATTGGTCGGTTTTGGTAAAACTATGTTTGAGTACAGCAATGTTTTCTAATAAATTTAAAGGAAAGCATTATTAGCGTCATATTAAGTAAAATATGAGTTTTTAGAGAGAATTGTGCCTTCCACAGGCAGTATAAAGAATGGCTGGAGAGTTCCAGATCAAATAAACGGGAACAGGCACATTAATCACTACCAGTGGGAAAGGGAGAGTTGAGGGGATTAAATGAGTTATAGTACTTAAAAACGCCAGAGTCAGAAGTGTGTCCCCTTTCTTGTTAACTATGCTATCCTCTTTTTAAATTTTAACAATACAGGGCAGCAAGACAATTATGTAATTATTACATAAATTATATATACCCTATCAAAACTGGGTCTATTCAAGCCTGGGCTCCTCAGACACCATCTGTAATTACAAATCTATTTATAAAATATCAACGTCTTAAAAAGCTATTTGCCAAAGAATAAGCAATTTCCTTAACTGTAAGTCTCGAACACGAAATAGACACAAAAACTGCATAAAGATTATACAGTCTGCTAATGAGTGTCCTCAGTAAAACAAGTCCAAGGGTTGGACCTCAAGATCTCCCCCGTTTAGCTTTAGTTTGTATGTATTCATAGATCCGTGTAGTTCCTTAATCTCTTGAGTGGCAATTCAACTCTTTAGGAGTTGGGTGGAACTATTTAATGGTGTTGGGAGGCACTGTGGAAGGAGATGTACTGGAATAGCTTCTCATCTACCTCTAAGGCTCCTGTCAAATGGACAACCACCACCCAAAAGGAATATTTAATTTTCCATTAGGTAAAAGGTAATACAAAGATGTAGCTTGTCTACCTCTCAGGGTTATGTTGCCAGTGAATAACTAAAGAGCACACATTCTGAATGTGTCTACAATATTACAGAAAGCTGCACTGAAACAGTTCTGACCTACGATCTGGTCATCTGGATTACCATTTCCAGAATGTGAAGTGCCTGCCAGTAGCAGCTACCTTGAGAGAAGTTCACTGGATTAAGCACCACATAGCCCATGCCTAGGTATGTGCCCAATAAAATGAAAATACACATCTAACAGAAGCTACACAGATGCAGTAACAGTATCATTTATACAATCTAAAGAGGGAACCCAACTATTCATCAGCTGATGAATAGATTCACAAAACTGGTTTGTCCTCATAATGGACGATTAGTCAATGAAAGAGAATGAAGCGCTGATTCATGCACAACGTGAATGAATCTTGATGTCCAGAACAGGCACGATCAAACAATAGCTGCAGGAGATGAAAGGGGAGAGAATAAGAGTACAGAACTTCCTTGTGTGGCCATGGAAGAAGACACAGGTGATGCTCACAACATACGAAATGTGCTAAATGTCCCAAAACTGCTCACGCAGAAATGGTTCATCATATCTTGTAAATCTCACCTAAGTTTTAAGAAACTTGGAGTGTGTACCAAATAAGAGGGCAGAGGGGGGCTGGAGAGATGGCGCAGTGAGTAAAAAGTTTGCTCTGTGAGCATGAAGACCTGGATTCGATGCCCAGAACCCATGCAATGCAGGGCCAGGTTAGCGCTTGACTAGTTCCAGTGCCTCTAAAGAAACAGGAGATGCCCTGGAAGCTCACAGGCCAGCTAGCCTGGTGTACACAACAGCTAACAAATCGACCCTGCCTCTGGGGGAAACTAGAGAACAATACCTGAGATGGTCCTCAGACCTCCACACATGAGGCACATGTTTGCCTGCACTCATACACATACATACATACATTCATACACGCACATGTGCGCGCGCGCGCACGCACGCACGCGCGCGCGCGCGCGCGCACACACACACACACACACACACGGATGGGAGAGGGGGACAGAAAGACTGGTGTGTTTCAGTG